TCAGCCTCGCCTCACCCGCGCTCTCTCCCACTACAGTTGTCGGACCGTGTGCTCGTAATGCGACTGAAAGCTGTTAGTGTCCGAGGATCAACTGGTCTGCAGCCTGGTTACGAGTAGTCAGACGAGGCAAGAACGACGAGATCAGTGTCTGCCTCGCTCCCTTCGCTACCTCACTGCCCGTCAATTTTGACTTGCAGGGAGAAATCAAGTCTGTTGTTGTGCTCAGCAGTCTCTGCCCTTTCCATCAGAATGACGGGGGAGGGTTCTACTGTTTCCTGTTCATCAACGTCTCCGTCGAGAGAAGCCCTGCATTTTTGCCGCGGAGCGAGGCCTCCGAGACGCAAGAAGAGTGAGGGTATCCCTACCTACGTGGAACGCGACAACTCACCATCTCAGGTACTAACAGACAGTTTCCCCCATGGTGTCTTCGAGGCCCTTCCTCCGCGCTAAAAGTGCAGGGCATACTACTTTTGTATGCAGGGTCGGCCTAAGTAGGTAACTAGATGCGCACTGTACGAGCCAAGTACTGTAAGTTACCCAGGCGAGCCAGGCGCACCAGGGCGCTTCTGAATTCGTCATGTCCTCCGAATAGAGACACTCACCGGTAGTCGGTCAGTTTCTGGGTCACATGCACTACTTTTAATCCAGTCCGGACTACGGAGTACTCGTACGAGGAATCCATCTTCCTGTTCGCCCTCAGACGTTATGATCAACAATCGCAATTGAGACTGTGAGTTCTACACGATGATGACGGTGCACTGCGGCTTTGGGAAAATTCTGCAACAGAAATTCCGCATTGGGCAGGAGGCTGAGTGACGACGAAGAACCCGGCGTCTCCTGCACGCTAAAAATTGCAGGGCACCGGCTCACAACCCAATGTGGCAATGTGGCGAATGTGCGTAGTACGGATCTCCAAGCGCCGTCGGTTCCAAACCGCGTATCTACATCGGAACCACATGGGAGGTCAAGCAAGATGACAAGTATGCTTCCCCAGCGTGGGAACAGGGAGAAAGCTGCCAAAGCGAAGTACATCGGCCGGTCAGCTTCAGCCTCGATCGCCAAAGCCGAAAGAAAAGAAACAGGCACATTGCGATGTATGATAGGATATATTTGGCATGGCTACAGGCCAGGCAGCGAGCCAGCGAGCCAGCACTCCCCATGGACCAGTAGTGTGGTGTCCTGGCTCGATGGGACTTTGCAGTTTGGTATTGGATTTCGACACAGGGCAATTGGTTCGACGCCAAGTGACATCGACAGTCACGGGCCCCCGGCAGGGAGGGGGGAGGGGAGGCGGGGGGGTGAGGAAGGGGGGCTGATTGAATTAGTAAATGGGCATAAGAAAGCAGTCTATGATTCGCTTGGAGTACAGAATGCACAAGATAAGCGAGTGGACGCTGGACGACCTATCCTCCTACCGTGACTAACGATTTGATCGAGCTTGGTCCAGCAATGCCACGATATGTCTGCGGTGACTTGAACTTCCGGAACGCCCGTTGCCACGTCGAATGGCTCATGATGCTGTAGTCAACACTTCGGCACGAAACTCGCATTTTCTAATCGACTCACAGTACCGCTTCTGCCTTTCCAGTCTCGGGCTTTGGTCGCTGCCAATTTTGGGCAGGCCGGATGGCCGCTGTCCGTGCCAAAGCATTATCATTTTGAAGCAAAGTATGACTTGGTCGGAATCATCTATCCATGCCGGTATGCATGGTAGATATCCAGTGCTCCGGTGGTTAATTGCCGGACTGGTCGAGATGCGAGATCTGAAAGATATCCACCGCAAGAGGTATCGACCTGAAGATATGTCGAGGTGCATGTGGAGGCACTAATTTCGCACCGCTGTTTGGAGCTGCCGAACACTTCGGTCCCTGCCTCTTCGAGAGATCCAGTCTGCGCCCAATCAAACAAGGTAAGGGCCAGCTTCGCATTCGGATGAACGTGATCAAGGAACTGTGTGAATCTAGGGCCGTCCCGTCGTTGACGTCCCCGTCAACCGAGCCGTCAAAGAGGTACGTACCAGCCACTCATCGGCGGAAGCCTGCAGGGTCCTCCGCACCAACGACTCCAGCAATTTGTCTTGTCCACGCTGTATTTTGGGGTCCGGGCGTCCCCCGCTGAGGTCTTTCCGCATCGGCATGGATATTGATCGCACCTACCTGCCCGTGGTGGTGGTGGTGGTTGTCGAAGGCTTTTGATGCACCTTACGGTCGATACCATCCGCTATGCTCCGAGATATCGGACTTGCGGGATGGAGCCAGCTTCGGACTATTTGCTCTGGCATCCGACAAGCCCTGTCGGGGGTTGATGGATATGCGTCTAAGCGAAGCCGCCGGATGAAAGCCGGATGAGGTGAGATGCTCCTAAACGCGCGGTGACGGCTGTCCGCCGGAGTGACAGCTGCCATGAACGAATAGCCCATCGCAGCCTTGCGGGACGTGCTGGGGGATGCCGGTCTCCAAAGACGATCACCGAGCTTAGCACGTTCAAAGATCGCTGAAACAGCTGAGCAAACCATGATCGTGCAGAGCAGGCGGACGTCTTCCCAGGTCCAGTTGGCTGCCCGCAGCGACGAGCTCAGCCTGCCAACCGCAGCGTTAACGAATGCAGTGAGAGTAGCAGAAATATCATATACGGGTTGTGGCGGAGGAAAATGCCGAAGTACATGTTGCAAGTCACCCTAACACATGAACCCACCATACTGGATGTCTACCGGAGACGCTTGTCAAGGTCCTTAGTGTGTACGCCGTCTTTCGGATCTAGTCGATCTGCCTGGATTGCTTCGGAAGCGCTGCAGACTGGATTTCATCCTTCTAGGTCGAGCTACTGAAACCGTCTGAATTGTCGCTTTTCATCCAGGAACCCTGAGACAGCTGAGAACAATTGCGCACCAAGGTGGCAACAGAGCATCGATACCGAGCGTCGACGGCGGACGCAAGCATCGTGAGCGTCCCTGGCCGTGCTGACAAAACAAACAAATGGCTGATGGCTGGAAGACGATGAACATGGTTCATACTCAAACAAGCAGGAGGCGGCCAGGAAGCATCTCGCAAACCCTAAAGTCCCTTCCGAGCCCACCAACCGCCTCCCCTGGGGTACGGTGGAGCCATAATCGTCAACTTTACTCGCATCATGCATGTGAATGAGCCACTTGTGCTGATGTCGTTCAGGCACTTCCGGCTTCCGGAGTCCCATCACCCCAGATCTGACAACGCAGGAATCTGGCAAAGCTCCTCAGGGCCCTGACGATCAGAAAAGCTCCCAGTGCAAGACCGTTACCACAATTCCACGATGTCGAGGAGTGAACTTCACTAGGTGAAGTGTGCGGATGTGGCTTCCAAGCGAGTTCTGTAAAATCGTGGCATTTCATCATGGTCGATAGGAGAGACCCTGCCGCGACCGGGGCATATCGATAGCCTTCGGATCGGCAACCATGGCTATCCACTGAGCTGGCAGTGCGGAAATTGGAAAAGCCACTCAGGGAAAGTTGGGGAAAATTCTAGCGACGGTGGGAATGAAGACAAGCACCAGATAGGTTTCCTGTACGGAGTAAGCAGGCACAGGCAGAGAACAGAGAGGAGAAGCGGCAGGGACTTGGCTTAGGCATGCCACGGGCTCGTTCAGGCACACCCGTGCACCGCACCTACAGTACCACAGCACCAAGCAAGTACAGGCACCGGGGGGCGGAGTGCCTGGGATTGCCTGGGATTGCCTGGCCACGAAGAAATACTGTGTACCTGAGTTACCGCATGCCGCGCTCCTCACTGCCCTTTTCAAGCCGGCTCACTGGTGACTCGTGCGAGGGACTTGCGAACTACTCCGTACGGCACCCATGCAGTTGGTTCGTCCGAGCTCCATTCTCGCGTGCCCGCGACTATCCCTTCCCAATTGACTGGCATCCAAGTCCTGGCTATTTACGCCGCTGAACCTTTGGAGGCTTGCCAAAAATGTGCTGGAGCCGCTTCTCCCTTCGCATATTGCACGCCGAACTCCACCATCGATGATATTCCATGCCAATACTCCGTACAGACGGCTTCTCATCTTAGAGCCCGTGTTCTTGCTCCATGCCTGTCCCTGGTCCCTGTCAGGACTGCAAACTTTTTGACTTTCCATGCACAATCCAGCATCCCACTTCGTTCTATCTCAGCTCAACATTGGCGGCTTCCGTACTCACGACTTCCCGCCCGGCTCTGTCTACCCAATCATGTATTCGATGTCTCAGATCCTCTAAATGAGTCTCAATGTACCGAGTATCAAGGGGATAGACCCCCAAAGTTTTCCTTATCGTCGTGGTCTAGATAGTTGCAATGTTGGCCTGACATAGCACGGTGTTTCGAATTTATTGAAGCATTCCAGCACCTGCGGACGGACCTCTTCTCAAATTGCGATACAACCTTTCCTCGAGCCCGCTAAGAATTCCCACGGTGGAGGCAGCGCAGACGGCCCGGCGAAAGTGAACCAAAAGTGACGGTCAAACACGATTGACAGAGGCGGGACCTTGACGAAACGCTCCCGGGCCTGGATATCGGTGGTGGTGGAGGAGACCTAGAATTACAAGGGCACGTTTGCCTGGACCGCTTAGTCGAGGGCTAAGGGCGACGGACGGCAAAGGTATTGTTGCTCGACCGCACAAAGGCCCTGCTGACGAACTGATATAGGACTGGTCTGCCTGCGAGGGTCCTGTACGATACTAGAGATAGACTCGAGGACGGGACGTCATATCGCTCCGAACTCCCTTCGAAAATCCAACGACATATCCTTGACAGGAGGGGCATCAGGCAGCAAGAGACGAGCAAAGAGGCAATTGGCACAGGAATGACACAGAAGCTGAAGACACAAGGCTGAAAATTGGACATATACATCAGCATAGGGCTGGTGTGAAGACCGCGCTGTGACCTATCAAGACCATCGTGGCAGCTCTGTGGTCGTGCAATTACATCGACAAGGACATAGACACCCCGTATTTTGCGAGACTTGTCATGGCTTCGAATCAAAGACCCCCAATGGGGCCTCCGGAGACTCCTGGCAGATATCTGCAACACCCATCCCCAGGCCTGTTCCCAACCCTTCAGCTTTCACCGGACATTTATGCCACCCAGTTCTCGGCCGGCCCGGCCACAGCGCCGGCCTATTCCAATCAAAGGTTCTTCTGGGATCCTTCAAATGTCGACTTTCAGGACCCTTCTTTCTGCCAGCCATATCAAGATCACTTCCAATTCAGCCCAGTGACAGCTACCCCTCCATTCACCTCCTCATCCACAGTCCTACCCAGTCTTGCGGCCACAAATCCGCCCTTGGAGGAGCGGCCTTACGAGTTACCTGCCCTGCCTCGTTCAGCCAGTTACTCCCACAATGACACATCTGCCTTCCCAGCCCCATTCACAACATCGCCGAGAGTTCCTGCGCCGCAGATGGAAAACCCAAGCATGTTCTTGAGCTCACCGGCACGAAGGTTTGGGACCGGTGACCAATATTCGAGCCGTTTCCCACAACACCTGGGCCCTGAACGGCCGGCTTATGCACATCAAATTGAAGAGTCGAAGCGAGAAGAGGAAAGCAAGAGACTGCGACGAGGAGATTCAAGGAAGCCGTCCATTACGCGCTCTGTTATGGAAGCCTTGAGACGCCCAGTCTCTCCAAAGAAGGATGGCAGACCGGGCCTGAAGAGAAGCCTGACTCACACAGGAGTGCGTAATGAACGAGGCTTCAAGCCGCAGAGCCTAGGCAGCGTTGGAGGACGCAATTCTCCCATCCCGCATGACCACAACATGCATAGACCGGGCCGATCTTCACCACTCAAATCAACGGTCGACCCAGTAGCGCGGACGCTGAGCACTAGTAGGAACGCGAAGCGGGGGGCTATGTCTCTGGCCATTGACGAGAATGGTGTCGCCAAAACAGTCATCTCAAAGGTGTCTGACGATATGGACCTAGACGAGACATCCGAGAGCGAGCCGGACTCTTTTGATGAGGAAGACTTTCACTTTCTTCACAGCCAAGGCAACTCTTTCGCCTGCGGTGGGGATGATGAACCCACCCAGGCTCAGGCGAGCCGGCTGCACGGTCATTGCAAGACCGATTCCCACTCTACAACCACCTCGGCCAACTCTGCCAGGCAATCCTCGTACCAGGGTTCGTCGTCAAGTCTTACAAACAACAGGAGTTCCGACGGACAACAGGGTCGAAGGAAGCGGCCCATTCTTGGCTCTAACGTTCATGACGATACGTTGATGGAAGAAGAGCCGAGTGGTAATGCCCAACAGGTCTTACGAGCGATCATACAAGACCGCTCCCGATCCACATCCTCGCAGGGGGACAACAATCAGCTGCATTCCTCGCCTCCCTTGCACCAGGGCCAATATGCTTCATACAACGCATCGCCAACAACGATCACGGATCCGGATCTCGCAACACCGAGCACCGATATGGATAGCCTCGCAAGTAACCTGAGTCTCCGTTGCTTGTGCAAGTCATCTATCCCGGACGGCTCGGTGCCCATGGTCCAATGGTAAGTCATCAGTCCTTGTCTGGTCTTGCGGGTTTCGGACTGGCCTGCGCATTGCCCGCCACTACATATTCTGACTAGGCTATGTTAGCGACTCGTGTACGAGGTGGTTACACAGTACCTGCGTGGGTATCGATCATCGGCGGAGGCCCGAACCATACATCTGTGTCTTCTGCATGCAGACCCCTCTCCGCTCAGGCCATGCACCGTTGCGTCCCTCAGCTCTGCCTTCGACAGCCAGCCCGCTGGCACACAAATCAAAACGACCTCGCTGATTGTGTGCCGGCTTCGAAATGACACACCTTCGACTCTAAAGCCACGCGCCGTCACCTCGATTCCGTGAGATGTGGTCGAGAAACACCTGTCTGCAGGAGCGATTCCCCGCGTTGACGTCGTGTCTGCATATTGGGCGCTGAAGTAAGGGGTTGGGAGATGCTGATACATAGATACCCCTTTGGAATGACTTATCATGTCCCCATTATGTCCGTACATACGAAACAATTGTTTGAACACAGAAAACGGTCGTCAGCAACAACACACGTCCCATCTGCTTCGACTTTCCCAATTCCATCTTTTTGCGTGCCAGTGCGTCGTTTTCAAAATCAGCTCCGTGCTCCAAAAGAATGTCGGCAGACGGTGACACAAGAAAGCTCGTTTGGTCTCGATTGTCTCAGATACCTGGGAATATTCGGCCAGTCGCCCTTGGCACAAGGAGACCATGGGGGTCGGTATAAAAGCGCATAGCCGCCAGGAGATGTCTCGACTGATTAGCATTGATCTTCAGGTTCTTACCCAACTTCTTCTTGATCGGCCACGATGTGGGCCACAGGGATCGTTGCCTCTCTTTTCCTCGCGTCCCCTACTTCGGCTACTTACCTGGGGCTTTTCGGAAGAGCCAATAGACTTTGTCCAGCTGTAGTTGATACCATCGCCGTGACATCGACTGTCAGCATCACCGTTCCGGCCGTCACAGTGACTGTTTCGCCGACCCTTCCTCTGGCCTCGTCGGACCCGGCCGTCGCTACGTGTCTGAGCGACACCCAGGCAACGAGCATAGTTGGGCTCTGGAAGAGCATCCTCACCCACGCAGACCGCAATGTTGCGAATTCCACAGCTCAAAGGTTGATAACCAATGAGTTCCTAGGAACAAGCGACTCGATCAATTCACTCGCTGGAACTTCGGTAAATCCTTGATCTCCTTCCTTAGATCCTCATTGCTCCTATTGTAGTTTCATTCTGACCATGCCATGTGGTGCCAATAGTTGGGCAACGCAACCTTCTCCGGCAAAGACGCCTTCATCACGGCCACACTGGAAGCACCTCCCATCGCACTCCTCACCACACTGGACATCTTTCACGACTGCAGCCGCATAGCGTTCTACTGGGCAGCCACCGGCGTTGGTTCAGGCGCCGAAGAGATCAGAGGCATCGACCTGCTGTATCTAACGGACGACCAAAGTCAAATCAATATGGCCATGACCGAGTTCAACAGTCTGGCGTGGGCAAAGGACGTTGGGTGGAAGAGCCAGAGAACAGACGGGACGCAGTATTAGCTTCGTCAGCATGGAAGTCTCAGCTTCTCGTTCTGTCGGCTCTGTTGGAGCTTTTTGGTAGAAGTTGGTGCTGGGTAGAAGGGAACTGCCAGGCTTTTGTCATGCTCCAGTGTCCCGGCTAGACGGAACAGAGGGAACGTGGAGCTGCGTAGATCTTGCACAGGGCGATTGGAATCACCGAAGGTTGCGCCTTCGCCTGTCGTTCTTTCCCGCATGGCATAAGCGAGCTTGAAAGAATAAGAGAAGCCTTCCCCCAGATTGTTGTCGTCGTCTTCTATGGTTCACTTCTTATGGTTGCTCGACCTTGACTACGGAGCAGCCGTAACTTCGGCGGCCGGCCTGAGCCAGCTGGACCCTGGACGCCGAGCGATGACCGTGCAGGATCTAGATCCTTCAAGTGGAACTGCGTGCTCTGGTGATGCCCTTGACCGCTGACACGGACAGGAATGTGACAGGCTACCATGTTATTTTCGGCAAGACGGGGCAGACGCATGTGACGAGATTCTTGCCTTGGGACAGCATTGGCACAAGCCACGGGGAATGTCCAAACATGGCGTCCGTCGAGAACCTGCTCATCGCATGATCTTTCGAGGCAGATGGCGGTGGATCAACACTTCTTGTCTGCTGTGCCAGTCTTGCTCGAGCATCAGCTGGCCGATGCTTCACTGCCCACCATACGATTCCGGGCCACTTCTACATGATCATCATTGGTGTACCAAGCACCAAGGAACACCCAGCCGACACTTCCATTGTCAGTAAGGCGCCTCTCCAAGCCCTCTCCGGCGTCCGTGGAACCATCTGACCGCTACCGAAGCGAGTTTAGCTAGAAGTCAGTCGTAACCTGCGCGACCATCAGACATAAGCACGCTATCTTCAACCTACTCTGGTCTCATTCTTTATCTTGCACTTGCTTCGGCTGGTCCGGCGTGTAACTTGTCCTCGACAGACGACAACGTCGTTGCCCATCGCCGACCAACATGGCTACCGCTACCGTCACCGAATTCGTCACCAGGACGGTGAATGCCATAGCAGCCACCAGTTCCGCCGCCAACCGAGCAACTCCCCAAGGCGGTGTCTTCGAACATGTCAATCCGAGTCACTATGACCCTAAGAATCCCATCATCCTCTTCATCATCCAGGCTGCCATTGTCATTATCATGACCCGCATCATCCATTGGCCTTTAGCCTTGCTCCGCCAACCCCGGGTCATTGCGGAGGTCCTCACGGGCATTCTTCTGGGCCCATCGGTCATGGGCAGAATCCCTGGTTTCACGGCGCACATCTTTCCCACTGCGTCCATGCCGGCGTTCACCTTGGCGGCGAACCTCGGCTTGGTGTTGTTCTTGTTCCTCGTCGGCCTGGAGGTGGACTTGCGGTTCTTGGCGAGCAACTGGCGGATTGCCCTGAGCGTGGGTGCTCTCGGCATGGTGATTCCTTTTGGTCTCGGCTGTGCTATCGCATGGGGCCTGTATCGGGACTTCCGGAGTGACGCAGGCCTGGCCCCTATCAGCTTTGGCGTCTATATGCTCTTCATTGGCGTTGCCATGGCCATCACGGTAAGTTGGCGTAACTGCGCTGCATGCCATCCGCAATACCTGGTGTGTCTGACAACATCTAGGCCTTCCCGGTGTTGTGCCGTATTCTGACGTCGTTGAAACTGCTCGGGACGCCCGTCGGTGTGATCGTTCTCTCTGCAGGCGTGGGTAACGATGTCGTCGGCTGGATATTACTTGCTCTCTGCGTCGCCCTCGTCAACTCTGGCGCCGGCCTTGCGGCTCTATGGATTCTGCTAGTCGCTGTGGGCTATATCCTCTTCCTGGTGTTTCTGGCCAAACCTGTCATGATGTGGTTCCTGCGAAGGACAGGGAGCCTCGCAAATGGACCAACACAGACTGTCGTGGCCCTCACCATCCTCCTTGTTCTGGCGTCAGCGTTTTTCACGGGCATAATCGGCATTCACCCCATCTTTGGCGCATTCATCATCGGCCTGTTGCTTCCCCATGAAGGAGGCTTCGCCATCAAGCTGACGGAGAAGATTGAGGATCTCGTCAGCGTTCTGTTCCTACCTCTCTACTTTGCCTTGTCCGGCTTGAGCACCAATCTGGGGCTCCTCAACGACGGCCTGACGTGGGCTTACGTTGTCGGTGTCTGCGCAATCGCCTTTATTGCCAAAATCGCAGGTGGAACGTTGGCTGCGCGGCTGAATGGGCTGGTCTGGCGCGAATCCTTCACCATTGGCGTACTCATGTCGTGCAAGGGTCTGGTCGAGTTGATTGTGCTGAACATTGGTCTGCAGGCCAAGATTCTGAGTACCCGCACGTTCACAATCTTTGTCGTAATGGCCGTGGTCACCACCTTCGCGACCACCCCGCTCACGGTGTGGCTCTACCCACCATGGTACCAGCGGAAGCTCGAGCTTTGGAAACAAGGCAAGATTGACTGGAATGGGAACCCAATACGGCGCGCCGGGGACGATGACACCGAGTCCAGCGAGGCGGATATACTACGCAAGACCGACGTTGCCAGACGTATACTCGTCTACCTCCGCCTAGACGGCCTGCCCAGCTTGTTTACCATGGTGTCCCTGTTCGCGCAGAAGCCGGAACTAGCAGAGACCCCCCACGTGCCCACCACAACGGCACCCACCGCCACTGGGCACGGGCTAGCCGGCTCTCAAGACGAGCGGCCCGTCATGAAAAACGCACACGCCCTCAGCTCGGTCGCGACGCTGCGGCGCCCACTACAAGTCCACGGTCTCCGACTCATGGAGCTGACGGAACGAAACTCCAGCGTGATGCGCGTCTCTGAGATTGAGGAATTTGCCGGGCGCGACCCTGTCATCAAAGCATTCGGTACCTTCGGTCAGTCTCGCGACATCGCGGTCGGGGGCCAAATTGCCGTCGTGCCCGACTATTCCTTCTCCGGGACACTGATTTCACGGGCAAGAGACCTGGCCAGTGATTTGATCCTGATTCCCTGGTCCGAAACGGGTACTCTGTCCGAATATCCCAGCCTGTTTGACACCAAGCCGGGGGACGCGCTCGCGAACAAGCAGTTCTCCACCCTCGCGGCGGAGATGTTCGAGAAAGCCAGGTCGTTGTGCCACGTCGGCGTCGTACTCGACAAGAGTGTCCTGTGCACGCCTAGTTACACTTCCAACGCAAAGCCCGAGTCCCCAGTGGTGGAACGGCCAAACCGTCAACTCAGCAAGACGCTCACAGGCATGAGTCTGGGCGGCGACTACATGAACTCGACAGTTCACTTCAAATTGTCAGACAGCGGACGATACAGACTGATCGCGCTATACCAATCCGGCAGCGAGGACGACCTGTTCGCCGTGCGTCTGGCGCTCCAACTGGCGAAAAACGACCTCGTAGATCTCAAGATCCTGTACGTCCGGAGCGGTGGTGACTCGGACGTCGACATGGACAGCGAAGACAAGAAACACCACGACTCGAACAAAGTGCGCTCGCTAAAGACGCCGACAGACCACGAATTCGACGCATTGCGGTCAAGCATCCCGACCAGCGAATCCAGCGCCCGCGTCACGGTCCTCGACGTCGATGTCCCCGGTTTGGAAGCCCTCACGACAGCCGTGTCTGAGCCCTCTTCCGCAGAGTCCCTGCTCATCGTTGGTCGTGGATCGCATTACGCAGCAGACGGGGCAGACACTGGCGTGTCCGGGTCTGGAGTTCTGTCCCCATCGGCGGGCCCCTCCTCTGCACGCGACGATGCCCGTACCTTAGGGCCCTTGGCCACGCAAGTCGTCAAGGTGATTCGAGACCGACAGATCGGCGCGAGCGTGCTGGTCGCGCAGGCGAAGAGGGAGAGGGATGTCGAAACATATACCGCTGAGGGGTTTGGTGGGGCTCCCAGCATGAAGGATGGCAAGGGGTTAGGTCTGACGAAGAAGCTGACGCATATGAGTGAGGACTAAAGTATAGCTGTATCGCGACACAACTATAGTGGTGGTTATGCCCGGAAGGATGGCGTTGACTTGATGATGAAGGGGTACCAGGATCAGGATCAGGATCAGGATCAGGACTAACACAGTAAGTCCAGCAGGTCAACCTCTGTAATACGTGTGCGGGCTATATATAGGGGTCAATTGAATTGGGTCAGGAAAAGATAGGGATGGCTAGGATACGCGCCACGAGGATTCTAGATACGGAGCGGAGTAATACAGCACAGTACAAGCAAGGAAAACGGTATACGTATATTATTACTCGATCGATCAAGCTCGAAGCGATGTGGATGAGTTAGATTCGACGTGCGACTACGGAGGACGGAGGACGGAGTACCACTATACTTGAACCTCCGCTGAAAGGAACAAGAATGCTCGTTTGCTTTGCCTCACTGGCTGAATTACAGGGCTTTGCTCGCTTTGCCGTTCCCCTCGTACGTGCACTGTTCCTCCTACTCCTGCTCCTCCTCCTGCTCCTGCTTGTCCGGGACTCTTTGCTCCCCGTTTTCCCACCCAAGTATACCGGGCCTGAACGTTTTGAACCGTGAAGGAGGGCCTGCTCACTTGACTTAATCCTCGGGTCCCAAGAGGTTCAACGCGCCGGCTATCAAGATCGATATAATAAAAGCTTAGAGGAAGGGTCTGCTCACTTATACTTGTACTCGAGGCCCAAGGGTCCAAGCGCGCTGGCTACGAGGGATCAAGATCGAAATACTAAGTCCTAAATTAGCAGATTCTACATCCGTGGACATGACGTCTCTCCTTCGAGGTCTCTCTCTCGCAAGTCATCTCTCCACTTCACCGTAAGTACCCTAGTTGCACAAGATTGACCGCTACTGAAAGGCCGTACCGAAAGAAGCCACAGGCACACAGGGGAGCTCAATCCTCCGCCTGTCTGTCATCCATGACGCCTACCCTACCTCCCAACACGGATAACACCTGCGGCGATCAATTTCTGGATCTTAGACCGAATACCCGGGTTCTTCATGTGCTCGTTCAGTGCCGCGGGGTCGGATTTGGCTTGTTGCAGGATCGATTGCATGACTGGGTCGGAGAGGATTTGCACTGCAGAGGACAAGTTAGTAACGTCGCCATACAAACAATACTTGAACTACGGTGGGCTACAAAGGTTCGAGAGAAGTGGCTGTCACCAGGGGATGTCGGGCGTACTTACTTATTTCCGGATCCCTCTGAATTCTAGAGCTGGTCTCTTCCTCGGTCTCGCCCTCCCTGGCCTTATACATGGCCTCCAGGGCCCTCTGTTGCTGCTGTTCGATTTCGCGGGCGTTCTTGCCTTCGGTGTCGTGCTCCATCGCCTCGGTACACACGTCAAGGCACTTATTGTATTCCTTCATGCCGAACAGGGCCTGTGCTTTGCGGAGGTAGGCTTTGATGAAAGACGGATCCCGGCGGATGGCTTCGTCACAGTCTTGGATCGCGGTCGGGAAGGCGAGGAGCTTGATCAGGGCGGCGGCGCGGTTCGAGTAGCCCCTTGGGTCGTCAGGCGCGCGCTTGGTGAGTTCGGTATATGCCTCGACGGCGCCGGGCCAGTCTGCGTTCTTGAATTTCTCGGCACCTAGTAAACGGGCTTCTTCTGCTTTTTCGGAGTCGACGTAGGCGTCCTTTTCGGCTTTGATCTGTGCTTTCTCTGCGGCTTTGAATTTTGCCAAGATGTCCGGAGTGCGGTGTTCGGTCAGGGATTTCTGGTAGTTGATGATGGCCTTGGGTAAGTCGCCGAGTTTCTCGTACGCGGAACCGATGCGCCCAAATGCTTTGGCGATGATCTTGAAGTCGGCCAGCATGGAGCGACCTTCTTCGATCGCCTTTTCGCAGGATTCGATGCAGCCTTTGTAGTCGCCCTTCTCAAATTGGGCGGCGCCGAGATTGGTGAGGTATGTGATATCTTTGTGGAGGTCCCAAGCTTTAGAGTAATGTTCAATTGCTTCGTCAAACTTGCGTTTCTTGTAGTTTTCTGTGCCGAGAGCCTTTTCTTTGTCGGCTTCTTCTTTGGCCTTTTTAGCCGCAATAGCTTCTTCGTCCTCGGGCTCGGCTGAGGGTTCTGGTTCGGGGGCTTTTTTCTCCGTTGATGGGGGCGGTCTGGATTGAGGGCGGGCGTCAGGCATGGGGACGTCTTCTTCTGCTTCAGCTGGCCTTGCGGAGGATCCGTCTTCGGGCGGCATTCCCATCTGCATGTCGACGCCCAGTAGTACGCCCATAACCTCCAAGAACCGTGGGTCCCCTAGCGCTTGGCCCATGTCTTGAGGGTTCTTCGCTAGTTGTTGCAGCTTGCCCATGAACTGCGGGTCTGCTAGATATCTCGCCGTCTTGGGATTCTGGGCCAGCTTCTGAATTAGTTGAGGGTCGTTGAACATGTTTCCAAGCCCACCCATTGGATCTGCTCCATCTGCACGTGCTTCAGCCTCAATGGCCCGATTGACCGCCTGCAGACCTTGCTGAGCTTGGGCGTTGGACGGGTCGAGTTTCAGAGCTTCTTCGAAAGCATCTTTGGCCCCGACTAGATCACCCAGCCCGTGCGCGGCGGCACCTTTTCTGCCCCAGCCTTTCGCCCAGTCAGGCTTGATCTCTGTCGTCTTGTTTGCGTCGTCCAGAGCTTCCTGGTAGTCTTTCAGAGAAGCGTATGCGCCGGATCGGTTGGAGTAGAGGACGTGGTTGGTAGGGTCTAGTTCGATGGCCTGGGAGAATTTCTCACTTCACACCAGAGTCAGCAGAGGAGTTAGAAACGGTGTTGAAAGACAACTTACACTGCGGTCTTGAAGTCTTTGGCCGCAAAGGCCTTGTTGCCCTCTGCCTTGAGAGCGTCGGCCATATCCGTAACAAGGATGAGATTGGGAGGGATGGAAGGTATTTAGTAAGTATTTATGAAGCTATAGTTCGAGGGAAACGGTGGTGAGAAGCGTCGCTGCTGATGATCTGCAGGTGAATAGAAAGTGAAGAGTTGGAGAAGCAGCCTGATGTACAGCACCACGCGATGTGATGCGGGCAGCCACTTGCAGTGTCTAGAAAATTCGGCGCACAGACCACCTCACCAGCTGGTGCATACTGTGTAGGGCACGGAGCTGCCACGGTCACAGCCTTGCCAACCTCGCCAGCCTTGCCTGTCGCCGACCCCACTATTTACCTATGCCCAAGCCTATGCCAAAATTTACGGGGATCCATAGCGGGCTGCTTCTTTTTTACACTGACATTTCATGCTACCATATGCCTCGCACAACCACAAATTCTCTTGATCATGTCGCGGTGACTCAGGTTGCTCGGCCTAATCTCGTTATCGCATCTGGGTCGGCAGGTTTCTTGCATGACCATGATGTTCGCACACCTCTATCCTCACCGGTAGCACACACTCCCCCAAGCCATTTTTGAACATGGCTCCTCCGAAGAAGGCCACGGCCTCGCCCACGCCAGGACCGTCGTCCGGTCCTGGTGGCCGTAATCTCGTCGGCGATGCTCTGTATGCCTGGGCCACGGAGAACTACGACCCAGGCTACGTCTTCTCGCAACAGGAACTATTAAGCGCCCCAGTGATACCAAATGCAGATGTCACCGTGCTCCTTCCCACCGTGGACTACCTGGTCAGAAAGTCCCTTTTTCGACTCCACGACAGAGCCGGAGGTGCTATAGGCTGGGAATTGATCGACTTAGAAGTCGCAAAAAAGTAATGAATACACCATCAAACCACCTGCACTTGGGCCTGCTACAAGTGCTGACTTGATTACTTTGAACACAGCTATTCCGGCCTCAGCCGCAACGAGGCGATCGTTCTCCAGGTCATCGAAGGCGCAAAGAACTCGGGAATATGGACAAAGCAGATCCAGACCAAGACCAACATCCACCAGAACACGGTCGAAAAGGTGTACAAGGCGCTGGAGTCCAGGAACCTGATCAAGCAGATGAAAAGCGTTGCTCACCCGCAGCGGAAGATGTACATTTCGGCAAGCTTGATACCCTCGGAAGACGCGACCGGTGGTTCATGGTTCTCCGAAGGTGTTCTTGACCAAGGCTTGATCGATACCATTTCTGACGTTATCGAAGCCTACGTCTCCAAGAGCAGCTGGCAGGAGGTCACTCTGGAGGAACACGAGGAGACCAGCCTTGGTCAGAAACGCAGGCGACCGTCCGATGGCTTTGAAGAACATGGCAACGATAAGCTCAAACTCGCAAAAACTATCGATGGGCAGAACAAGACCAAACCTGTCAAGCAGCATGGTCCCTCGAAAGCCTACAAGCCCTTCGAACCTGGGCACTCACGTTATCCTACTCTGCGCGACATCACACGGTACCTCCTCGAGTCCAAAATCACCGCCACGGCCCTACCTCAAAACGCCATTGCCCAGCTGCTGCAGGTGATGATCTACGATGACCGGCTTTTCACCCTCTCCCGTGTGGCCCAAGCCAGCGAAGTAGCCGACAACTTCGACAACAATACGGTAACAATGTACCGATGTTTCAAGACGCCACTGGATCTTATGGAGCAGCGTTCCATTGCCAAGCGCAAGATGCACAACGACGAAAAGACCCGGATCGCCGCCTACCGACTCGAAGAACTAGAGGCCCTTGGTCCAGGAGGAGCAAGTGAGGTCCCCTGCATGAGGTGTCCTGTCTTCGACATTTGTGGCGAGGGTGGGCCTGTCAATGCGGTGACGTGCACGTATTTTACGAAGTGGTACGACAATCTTGAGCAGGCGGATCAGGAGAAGGAGGCAAAGGAGAAGAGAATCAAGGAAAGAGACAAACCCTTGGTGGATAAAGGGAAGGGCAAGGCGCAGGAGCTACCCATGGCCAACAAGGATAGGGGGCCAGGTATCGAGGTCGAGCTGGAGGAGGTGGATCCCTTATAGCATTGCGATCTGCTCCTCTGGTCATGGCTAGATGCTGCTGCGAGGTGTGCACAGAGAGAGCATCGCGACAGCTTTGGCAGATTTACGAACCCACCATGGGCTTGGTCACTGGATCACTTGAGAGGAATGAACTTTGCACTTCAGAGGGATAAATACAGGAGCCCTGCAACGATACCCCCGCCTCCGCCCTCCGTATTTAGAGGTAGCGGCAGAGCATAATAGAATCAATTGAGATACCACAAAATAATTACTTGAACTCGATCGAACGGCTTCTGGGCTCCGTCGCTAGAACCCGCCGAATAAACCCTTCGATCTCAAAACAGTATCTCGTTGCATTGGCCGCTCCTGGTGGCTTGATCGGTCAAGGCTGTCGGATGCAGTTCCAAATGGGTATCTCAGTGGTTGCAAAAAGGCCGTCGCAATTTGAGCATCTGATTGCTCTATTATCAATGGCTGAGCACTACTCCCAGGGACGGGAAGTCAGGAGTTGCTCGACAAGAAATACATACTAATCAACGGCCATGTTCGACGATAATATAAGAGGTTCACCTTCCCATCCCAACTTGGTTCCTCAACCCTCATGTTTGCCAGTTCTACTTTCCTCCACTCGACCCTACTAGAATTCAACAGTTTCACATCTTATCCCATCATGAAGAATACTTCAGACTCGAATGACGTCGATGCGGAAAGTCATAAATCTGAACTTGACTTGCCGCCCTGAGCCTTAGGTCCAACCATGCTGGTCTGACAAAGACGCTGCCGTGGAAGAAGCCACCAGCAACGCTTGCGAAGAATACCTGGCGTCAGACGACTTCCGTCTTCCGCGCACCCGCAATCTCGTTGCTTCGGCCTTCGGAGGGAGCGCTGTGACCAGAATATTACAGTACTTTGTGGGCCGCAGTGTCCCCGTGCGGCCCAACATGGCGGCCCATTCCAAATTATGTGTCCACGGCTTCTGCAGTCAGCTGATGCAAGCTATTGGGAGCTCCTGCCATTCAGGAAGCTTTCAAGAACAAGGCTCGCTGCCGGCATATCGAGGTGCATCCGAGCCCGAAACCGCAGAGTCCTATACAGCGTTGTGCGTTCCAGAACAGCCTCGCTCGACGATAGGCCACCTGGGAAGACCAAGTCATGTCAAATGCAGTCTCTCGTCACCCATGGCCATCTACTCGAATTCAAAATGAGAACCGACCAACACAGCGCTAGTGACCCGGGAATTTCTCAGCAAATCGTCGCGAACGTCAGAATGAAGGTAAGGAGCTACACTTCCCACGACCATGCCAGCTCGAACCAAGCACACGACAAGCCACCAGGTTCCGGGCTGTTCCATTCGAACGTTAAAAAGTGTCGATCTTACAGGCATCAATGCCGGATAATGAACTGCTCGACTCGGGTATCTCTGGCTTGCAGAGCGGCAATGCGAATCGCGTTTACTGTACGAAAAATGGAAATCTGTCAGAATCAATCAAATACTACCCCTCTTGAGCCCGCTTCAGTGCCCCTCGTCGCTGACATGTGGTGACGCAAATCGTCCCGGCCAGGGGATCGATCAATCGGCGAGACGCGTATGATACCCATAATCAGCCACGGCGGGGGCTTTTCCACGCTTTCATGCATGACCATTCCAAATACAACACCGTCCATCCTGTCGAGCCTATCTTGACCTCTGCTTGCAGGAACAGACATGTAGGTTTATAAAAAGTCCCTGCCCCTTCGTTATTCGTGTTCTTCCATAGCACAGCAAGATCTCAATCACAGCTCAACAACACCACGCTCATAATTCTCCTAAAACAACCATACCGACGAATCCATCATCATGCCTGAGTACAAGGGACACTGCCACTGCGGCCAGATCGCCTGGACCGCCGACATTCCCGAAGAGAAGCACATCCTCTGCCACTGCGGGGCCTGCAAACTCCAGGGCGGCGGCGAATTCACCCTCAACCAAATCATCCCAAAGAGCAACTTCCACCTTACCAAAGGAGATTTGAAGGTCTACACGTACAAAGGCGATTCTGGTGCGTCTACGGCAAGATGTTTGTCAGAACCAATGCTGACGCGGTAAACGTGGACAGGAAACACCGTCGACTGCTTCATGTGTCCCAACTGCGGGAGCTCTCCATATCACCATCAACATGTGATGGGTAAGTCGACTCCGTCCATAGCCCCTCTGATACAACTTCGTCTCGGCAGCCGTGCACATTTCTTAATCGAGTTTCATCCTTCTCCTGGATGGCCTTCCAGCACACTTCAGTTCCTCCGCTTACTCGGATACAGGCGATGACAAGATCGTCATCCGCACGGGCCTGCTCGAGGGCTCCGACAAATGGGGCAAGCCCGCCGCCGAGATCTACGACAAGGAACGTCCATCCTGGCTACCACAGACGGGCGAGAACAGTTTCCCCGAGGTGCCTCCTTCGTAATTGACTTGACTTGAACAAGCGAAGGGGGTCGAGTTGGGACAAACGTGGAGAGTCGACTTGAGACAAGCATGAGGTCGAGTCGGGGAGTGATCGTCTGGAATGCTCTTTGGACCTTTGTAGGACAAGCTGACATGCCATCGCCGGTCTCGAGGAGGGAAGCAGGCTGATCCGATTGGAGTTTATGTCGTGGCCGTGTGTAGTTCTACAATAGCCGAGAACACAGGAACCGTCAAAATATATAGAATCATTCACTTGTACACAGACTAGAGCCTGCGCAGCATGCTCAGTGTATTGCGCGCCGCAGAAGACGCAACCATCGTTGTCACCCCTAGATAACAGAGCTCGGTTTTCAGCCTTACTCCGAACATGCAACACCCAACACTTGAACAACCTCCAGCATCAAGCCCATCAAGGACAACATAGAAGTCATCCATTTCCATGCACAGCTCAAAATACATGCACCATCCACATCGTGTCCTACCTACCTACCTACCTACCTGGCCTGCTCCCCCTTCCCACGCTTCTATAATCCAGTCAAACACCCGTCACTCATAAGCCATAAGCCATCACCGATCACACAAAACCCACAGCTCATCATCCATCACCCATCAGGCCATCACCCATCACCCGTAACTCATACCTTATAACGCATATTGTACCTCTTGTAAACTACCCACTGCTAACAGGCGGGATAATCCCCACCTCATCCCCCGGCCGTATCAGCAGATCCAACCCTTCGCCGCCACCCTCACCCGCGCCCTCTCCTACAGCCTTCCCCTCGCCCTTCACCCGCATCCGTTCCTGCTCGCCGCCATCCCCATGCCCTCCCCCGGTTTCCCCGCCTCCGGCTCCCTTCCCACGATTCCCCCCCGACGACGCCTCATCCGCCTCAACATCGACGTCCACGTATTCCAGATTCACAGTAACGGCGCTACTCCGCAGAATCCGCCTCGTCATGCCCGGGAACCGCCTTTCCAACTCGCGAAAGACACCCCGTAAAGTCGTGGGCGCCGGCAACGTCAGTGTCTCGAGGTCGCCTGCGAAGGTGCTGGCGCTGGCGAAGAGGAGGAGGGTGAACGTGCCGGTCGACGTGGATGTGGATGTGGATGTCGACATGCTGGGCTCTCTGGCTGTGTGTGTGTGGGTGCGTCGTGCTTGCGTGTGCCTGTCTTGGCTCGTGGGGTCGTGCTCGTGGACGACGGGCGCGCGAATGTGGGTGGGTGTGCGTGGTCGTCGACTTTGTGGCTGCTGCTTCCTGCTGCTCCTGCTGCTCCTGCTGCTCCTGCTGCTCCTGCTGCTCCTGCTGCTCCTGCTGCTCCTGCTGCTCCTGCTGCTCCTGCTGGTGCTGCGCGAAGTGAAGTGGACTGATACTCTGCTCCTGTTTCCTCTCCGCTGCTCGGCTCGGCTCTCCTCGCCCCCCTTAAATCAGTGGGATCCGGTAATTAACGTCGTGTATCCTTGCTTCCTTCTTTCACGTTCTCCTGGATTCTTGAAGCTCGGATGACTTGCCGATGCAGTGCTCATTGGCTGTCAGGACATAGGGCGCACTGCACTTGAGTTTTCCCAGCTGCCGTAGTTTAATTTACTCCGTAACTTGTACGTCCTTTAGCTCGGCTTGACCCCCTTCTCAAGAATCTGTAGATATATCGTGCCTGGGATATTTTCAGGCAACGAAAGCTTCGGCGTCCGGCACGTATCCAAGCGCGTCAACTCTGTCACAATGAGATTTCACGTCTCCTCAGCTGGGTTGCTTCTACATAGTAGACCCTCCGTCCCGCCACTCATGTCGGTGGCTCTTCCGGCTTGAAGCGGAAAGGGACAAATGGTTTATCCGGCCTCTATACCTACTTAGTTTTCGACATTCTCCTATGACGTCGCATTGTTTATCAGATATTTGGTTGCCAGAAAACTTCACACTGGGATCCATCACGGGAAGTTTTCTGGCAATGGATCGCAGAGGGCTTGCACAACACATCGGACAGACATGTACGCATTGCCGTGCTTTTGCTATGAACTCACACCCCGTACATATGATGTGCTGCTAATTATCCTAGGTCGAACCGACCCGCATATGTCCTCGTTCGATCCCCAATTTTGATTTTTTTGGTGTCTTGTTACCACGTTTGGGCATAGGTTGATGATCTCATCTATTTCTAAGCACCTCTTCTCCATTCTCGAACCCATACTCGATTATGCCGTTGTACATACTTATGTAGGAGAATCATGAACCACGAACACATCTGCACTATTGTGGACCCACGGGTGATCTAGTGCTCGAGGAGTCTCAGTGATCCCTGGACCACGACGTTCTCCAAAATCGACCCGGGTGGGATATCAATGGTGCTATTCTCGGTTGCAACAATGATGACAGTACCTGCAGTAGGATTAGTGAATGTAGCTAAAGTTCGGCAGTTACTAGACGCACCCTTCAGGACAATGCCGCGGCCAAAGTTGACATCACCAGTGACCGTCAAATGATCCAGCTCGACAATGTTGGGGATGCTGCTGATTCTCTTCTGGAATTGTGCCACCTTCTTGAAATCACTGCCCAGCTTGATCAGAGGAGCGGGGCCGAATCGGTTCGGGTCAATGACCAATTGGCCGTGGCTCAAAGTGTACAGGTTCGACTTGACAAGCATGAGGTCGGAGCACGTCTTGACCGGCAAGAAGCGTCGTCGGGGAACATTGACACCGTGGGAGTTCTTGAAGTGCTTGATCGCCGCGCCGACCGCCGTCTCAAGTTGGATGATGCTAATGTCCGCTTCACCCTTCTTGTCCGCAGGGATCGACTTCTCATTGGGGATGATCTCCATCTCCAATTCGTTGTTCTCCACGACACGTTTGATAGCTCGCAGGTTCATCCAGATGTTGTTGGTGTTGAAGTACTTGAACTTCTTGATCGACTTGAATTCGTTGACGTACTGCTTGGGAACCTGAGCGATTTCAAGCAACCGTGCACGACCTTCGTAGTCAATGATCGTACCACCCTTGACATCAGCCTTGGTCTTGTCTGTCAACTCCATAATATATTCGGCCTTGCTCTCGACCATATGTTGCAGGATGCGGAGATCCACAACAGCACCGAGGTTGTCAGCATTGGACAAGAAGATGATCTCGATGCCGCGTTCTAGTAGCTGGTCGAGGAGGCCACTGTTGTAGAGGGATTCAAAGACATCACCGTGACCGGGTGGGTACCAATCAGACAGCTGCGAGTCATAGGATTTCGGCGCAGGGAGGAGAGAGTCCTTGATGACACGAGGGTATCTGGATTGGTTGAAGGTGAGAATGTCGATGTTGTGGCCCTCGTATTTCTTGATGATGGATGCCGTGTCATCGTCGGTGTTGAAGCTGTTCATCAGAACAAAGGGCACATTGACATCATAGGTGCGGTTGAGGTATTCAATCTGTCGGACGGAGAGATCGAGGAACGACATGCCGTCTCTGACTTCAATGACCGATTTGGGACCAACACAGCCCATGGAAGTACCCAAACCGCCATTGAGCTTGACGACTGCGAGTTTGTTCAAGAACTCAACAGCGTCGGTGTTGGGGAGATCGTCGTAGGCGACGACTTGATCGGGGTTGGGAGGGTTGATTTTGGCCCAGTCAATGGTGTTACCCTTCGCCCGGTCGTTGAGGTATCTTCGGAACAGAGCAAAGAAGTTGTCCATTTCTGCCTCAAATCTCTTCTTCTCTTGAGGGTCCTTCACCGTGTCGGCAATGTTGTTGAGGGCATTGCGCATCTGGCTGGCGGCCACATTGGTGGATGTGTTCTCGAAAGCCTGCATTGCGGGAGATTTGATTAGCGTGTCATCAGAGTGATGCAGGGAGCGCTTGTAAGAGAGAGAAGGCTGGCGTAGGTCGATCGGAGCGGGTACTTCGAGATGCGGCATTTTGAACAAGGGGAGGCGCTGAGCTCAAAGAACTGCAGTAGCAATCGACCGCGTTGGTTAAATACGAACAGCTGCAGCCGCGAGGAGATTGCATAAGTTGCGAAATGACGAATATGAAACAAGGTGTCGAAGCCGCGATTTGGACCATGGCTGGACGTGTTCGTAGTCGTCTCGCAGGGAACTGCTTTTGGACGAGGAAAGTGGGCAGCGCAGCGACACGGTGCCCGAACCACAGCTTAGGAAAGCAGAGTGGCCCGTGCAACGGGATCGTGTCTTTGTATGTTTGACCAAATCGGGAATTGGGGTGGTACAAAAGCAAAGGAGAAAAATCAAGAAATCTGCTGCTTACCACGTGGGATTGTGTCTTGCCATGGTGTCTCTTCTCGCCTTGCGCGGCGCCATTGGAACCGTTGGCTGAGCCGGAAGGACGGAGATGGGATGGGATGGCTCTAGAGGCCATGGTTGTAGCTCTCGGTTGCGAGACAAACAGTACTGGGAATCCGGAACAGGATGTGGCCACAGACTCTGGTCTGGCCGGCGTTTCTGGAGAGGAATTAGCTGACAGTCGAATCGAGTCGAGTCGAAATCAGGGAAGGTGAAATGAGGTGAAAGTCAGAGTCGAGAAAAACTGCAGACTGAAAGTGGGATGAGGAGGCGATGAAAAAGCGAGAGCTTTAGCTGCCTCATTGAGAGCTTCTGCAATAGGATTTCATCACTGCATGCATGTGCGTGGGCACCAGGCAAATGACGTCGGGCAAGGGCAACAGCTCCGTATTGAAGCCGCTGCAGCGAGGAGGATATGCAATGGGGTTCGTAGCCCTCATTTGGCGGTCAGGACTCACCTAATATCGCAACGCTTTAATTGGACCTGCGGTCGGGTTCGTGATGGGGCGTCGAAGGAACGAGAGGTAGGTGAGTCGCAAGAAGATGGGGTTTACTGACTGGGCTGAGGCAAAGATGCACATCAATATATGGTCCGTCCCTCTACGATCAACGGATTTGTTGGGCACAGGCGTCCATCAGTGTTGTATCGAGCGATATTTTCCTCGCACTCGACGACAATCTGGACGACGGCGATCCCCCTCCATCACCAGTTTCACCCCACCTAAAATGGCCGTCCGCCCACGTTCGCGCCCCTCGTCGACCCGCCATCAGGGAAAGGTTCTCCATTGACTGAGCCTCTAGGCCCGTTCAAGCCTAGAGGGACCGCCAGAATTGCCATGTTTCACCGGGTTTTCGACGCCGCGGTGGTGCATTGAGCCGCACTTCAATTGCGTCGCCGCCATCCACGCTCACCTTCGCCTGCAGTCGGTGCCGAGCCAGACAAATCAAAGGGAAAAAAATTGTCGGAAAAATATCTCATTGTAGTCGACAACTATCAGCAACACAGGAGCACCAGAAATCACCTGTCCCTTGACCCCGTGCTCACTTCCCGCTCGTTCCAAGTACGAGTACTAGTCCACTCTAGCTGATGTTGTGCCTTGGAATCGAGTGGCGGTGAGCCTCGGGGCCCTTCTCGTGACACGGGAGCAAGATAAGAAGACATGGTATTCACATAGAAGCATTCGCTTTGATGCATCTAGCCCTGTTCGGCTTCATGTATTTGTGACCTTTCTGTAGTACGGCCCGTCTGCAATTAACAACCTCCCCAGCCACGGCAAGCAGAAGTCGCCCATTAAAAGATATCGCAATGTCTACCTGGTATCATTGATTCAAGTCCAAGCATAGTCTTGTCACCACAAAGACGCGTAAGAGAAAAGGGCCGTCCAAGCTTCTCTGTGCGGGTGAACATATTGAGCTTTGTGCCGTGTACCTTGGAAAACGCCCACGCTGAAAGATAGAATATTCGGTGATGACTCCTTTTCGAGGTCTTCACACACCCATGCTGAAAGATAAGATATCCCTGATGGCTCCTTTTCGAGGCCTTCAAGACTCGTGCTTTCCACTGAAGCCGCTGAAATCTCTTCGTGCGAAGAAGCTTCGTCGTCCTTCTCGCTTAGAGTCTGGTGATTCCCGCCCACTAGTCGCTGGCCGCTGACCGTCCGTGGAGACTCCATTGCTAGCTGCGAAGCTGCTGCGTATGGTAATTGTCCCAGAGCCAGCTTGAACAGATTGCGCGGAACCACTTCCTTGGTCAGAGACGAAGAACATGGCCTCGCCGAGGTCTTTGGACCGTAGCATATCGTGGTCTTTGACCTGCAACACAAATTGCGTGTCTGCCGT